GCTAGATCGGCTGTTCATGAAAAAGTCGCGAGCATTTCTGCAGTGCTACTATGCTCTTATAGTTGGACTTTGGATTGTCATCTGCTTGAAATGGAGACAGAACTATGTATTGTACGAATCGCTTCAGTACTGATATTGCCAGTTGTAATTAGGGAGTGGGAGCACATCGGGAGAAAAAAAAAATAGGAAAATCGGCTGAATGAGTCAAATTTCATTAAATGTCCAGAATTCATGTTTCTTAGAGAGTTATCCCTCCCTTGCATGCTGATCGATAAAAGCTGGTTGTTGTGACTGAGTCCCCTCTGTCGGGCGGGCGGGCGAATAAAGAAATTACGATTAACTCGTGTACAGTCTAGTGTCGTATGACAATCAGCGTTGGCTCATATCGATGTTGGAAGCGGCAATGGCAGTGGCAGCAGCAGCATTTTTGCCCTTGTGAAAAGAAGTTTAGACTGTAAATTGCATTCATTAGCAACTTTTCAGATATGCGCATCATCTGGAGCATTGGCTGGATTTTTATCCGCCAACGCAGATTCATCTCGTTGATGGCGAAAAACTGCGTGAAGATCCGGTGGCAGTTGTGTCTCGTCTGGCTGACGAACTCCATGCGCCAAAATTTGCCTTCGATAATCTCATCAAATTTGATGAAAGAAAAGGATTTTTTTGTAGTTATATCAGCGGTAGGAGTTCGCGCTCATTATACTGGTTTTCTTTCATCCAAATTATCAAGAACACTGGGGCAATTAATAACTTGGTACTTTGCGGCTTGTTTTATTGGGATACATCTGCACTTCCAGATCAGCTGTTCCAGATGCTCGTCTTCGTTTAGTGCCTGTGGCTTGGTCGATGCTTATGGGCTACCATTTTAGGGATCATCCGAAAACTTTCCTTTGCAAAAAATCATTATTTTAAAATTTCCCCTGGAGGGGACGCTCGGAATTTTCCGGATTTAAAACCGTTAGGTCTACTGACTGAAACAACCGGAACGGCCGGGGTTACTGAAAATGAATTTTTGCAGGTTTCAGCGTCAACTTCAAGTCTTTTGCAGGTACACGAAAATGTCTGGGTGCAAGTAAAGGGCGCAGGTATGAACCTCTGGACGAGAAGCTTCGGGAAAAATTGGATCTTATTTTTAGAGAAGACAATATAGCCTTACATAGGCTTCTAACACGCAGTGATTTACCTGTCCCAGGTTGGCTCCAGCAACAACTTTCCAAGGCGAATTTCACTTGAATTGTGAAGAACAAGGGATGTGATGTCAGCCACTGTGCTATAAAGCGTTCTTTCTGCTGGGAATTGTGCTCATATTTGCATTCTCATTTTGAAATTTTTGAAAGTGGTAGCTTTTTTATGTATTTGAGATATACTAAACG